ATTGTAAGGAGATTCAATGTTGCCATGTATGCAAAACTAAACCATGTAGTTATGAAATAATTGTTTTTAACAAAAAGGCGCTCCTGAAGTATTCGTACCAAGATGGCGCACAACCTGAACATTGTATGTTTACCAAGTTAGGGTTCAGGATGTGCGTCATCTTGGGCCGAATACTTTAAATCCACTTAAAAAAAATTGCTCAACATTATATACTCCACACCCACCTGGGTATCATTATATATGTCATATACATTATATCTAAACAATAAAAAAAACTTTATGTCCCAAAACAATGTTAAGGCCCGATTCTGCCGGACTAATAGTGCAGTTGGTAGAACGCAAAAGTTTTTTATAAATGTTTTCAAATTCAAAAACATAATGCATCAATTCATGATCCCGATTCATTTGCCAAATCATTGCGAATCACAATCTGCTGAAATGGTGGTTAAACCATATGATTTCCTATTTCGGTCAACCCGTTTCCGAAAACAATCAATTTGACTAGAGATCGAGTCAATACATAATATATATGATTACTATCATCTGTCGAAACGTGGAAAAGCACCATTTCCACTGTCTACCCCGGTATCGTTAAATTTGTTGTCTCACCAACTTGCAGCTTGCTCTTTCCCGACTACTTTTCCAAATTTGCTTTAATTAATGAAGTGCTAGCAATTCGAAGTCCTTTTTCGATGTGAGATTTCATAAAGCCCATTTTAGAAAAACCTTGATTTTACAAATCTGTTGAGCCAGATAGTGTCATATTTGAAACCATAAATTATTTCAAATGTGGAAAGTTATCTTGGTTGCAATAATTTCGGTTAAAATTGCCAAGATTTATTTTCAAACACTTCACTGTCAAATCGGACGTATTCTCGACTAGATTTGTACAAAATGGACTGATATGCTGAAACCAAAACTAATTTAGCTCCCGTATTTCCTCATAGTAAAATTTCTAAACCTCTTTTCTAATTGCCTGACCTCTGATCACAGTCTGTGGGTTCGAATCCATGGTGTGGTTCACGTAACCGCTGATCGGTTCCGACTTCCTCAACCATCAAATCCATGCATCCAAAACAAATAAATGAACCACGTGGACTGGTAACTGGGCGAGAGGCCGTGGTTCGCCATATGCTTGAGCCATCTCATGCCTCATACATTTTGCGGTTTTGAGAACTTATGATTTTGGTTCCTTATATATATAAAAAATATTCGCGCTTCAGGAGTGTGTGTGCCAATATGGAGGTAACTAATTTTGTTCGCCTACTTTACATCAAGTTGTAGAAAGGGACTGAAACCTATGGGCAGGGGGTATATCCACTTGGCGCACACAAACAGTCTTCAAACTCGTGATATAACTAATCGGAATAGTGTTGTGGCCTAACCCTAACCTGGTACACATGCTACGGGAGTACTAAAATATTAATTATGAAACTTGTGTTCTATGCCAGGGCTACTCAACTGGCGGACCGCGGTCCGAATCCTGACCTTTCGAGTATTTGATTCGGACCGCACCTAATTCTTTATTTTAGATCATTAGCCCCACTTTTGAAGTTTTCTTTTATAAAATGACCCTTGTAGTTTTGAATATATATGAAAAGAACTATAACACCATAATAAGCAATTTCGATTAAATAATAATCATTAGCCGGTCGAGAAAGTGTGCGTTTTTAAGAATGCCGATATATAAATTCCAGAAATACCGGACCGAAATAATTTTGAAGTTTTGTATGCGGATCTTCGGTAAAAATAGTTGAGTAGCCCTGTTCTATGCTATCTGAAATTGAATATATAAGTAAGCTTTCGTCTTCATTACTAATTGGGGGCCAAGTTAAAAGTAACTTGCATGATTTTTTTATTATTATTTTGTAACAGTTCCAATACAAACATTGATGGATAGTTCTAAAATTATATTTAAAAAATGAATTTTAACGCGGCCAATATCGTGTGACCAATCAGTTTTCTATTCGAAAATGAATTCATATCCTTGGGATTCTATTGCAAATCTTGGGATTTTTCAACAATTATCTTGAAAATAACCGATCGACTGCAATAGAATGGGATCAATGTTACAATAACAGATCAAATTAATAACGCCAACAATGCCGAGAAAATATACAGCAACTAAACGTACGATACGACGTGCACAAACAGAAAACGCCAGCTTGTATGTCGTGAAATTTTCAAGATGGCAAAAAAGTCAATCCTGCTGCTTCAGGCAAATACTTGCCTCAACTATGCGAGACAATGTTCAAATGTAGATACTGTGACGAATACCTATGTTGGGATTGGCATAATAAAGTTCCATGTTGGGTAGAAAATTGTTAAGCAATCTTTCTCATTCTTTATTGTTCCGTTATTCGCTGATAAAATCGCAATCTGATTCATATTTTGTACGTTTTGCCATAATTTTATGAAGCTTAAGCTAGCAGTTAATGTCAAAACTTTGTGCAAACGTTGAATGCGTGACATCCGGTAGAATAATTATCTTCCGCAGGCATCTCGATGTAACGTGTTTGCGAATATAGCTATGTTGCATTACCGCAATATGGTGACCGTACATTTGAACCCATGTACATTTGCACCCATGCGTATATCCACGGGTTCAATCTATATGCGGGTGCTAAAACCCATGGGTTAGGGTTAGTATGGGTTTAACTATCCGTGAAACAAAAAAAATTCCATAGGTGCAATAGCATACAGGTGCAATTGTCATGGGTTCAAATGTACATGGGTTCAAATGTAATGGAACCCCGCAATATACGTACCGAAGGGCGGAACGAGATTAATCATTGCTACTCGATTGTTCCCTTTTGAACACAGTTCCTATCTGAAAGTATTCATCTGATGTAAGATGTTGCAAAAATACTTGTGCGACAAATGAATCAAATTGGCTTCTTGAACCGAGACGAAATAATCATCTCATCTTTTCTCCTATGTCCTTACTAAAAGGAAAGACAATCTCACTTGAAGTCAGTGAGTTTTAGTCATCATAATCGACGATAAATCATACATAATCCATTGTGAAAAATGTTATAAAGTATTGCATAATCTGACCGAAGTTTATCCCTATACCATAATACTTTCATAGACGTTTGCGGAGTATCATGACAAATCAAGTGGAAAACAACATTCACGTACACGACGAGCCTTCCCGATTCTGGTTATCAGTAGTGTGTAGCTGAATGTGCATATCCGTTAAAATGACACGTCTATAGTTTATCATATGAACTGGTTTGTTGTTTAAACTAAGGTCATTACTTCATTTGAACCAGTAACTTTTAATGGAATGCCTTCAGTATTTCACTTAGTTTCTTACATAACATAAAAAGTTATATAAAAATAGAAAAAAGGATCGTGTAATAGGCTCCATATCACGGGTTATTTTGATTCCGTACACGATACAAGAAAGCTTTTTATAAATTTTTTCAACACCAAATTCAAAAACATAAGGTATAAATTCATGGTCACGATTCATTCGCCAAATTATTGCGAATCACAATCTGTTGACATGTCGGTTAAAGCATGCGATTTCCTTTTCCGGTCTACTCGCATCCGAAAACAATTAACTTGAGCAGAGCTCAAATCAATACATAATATATATATTTGTATGATTACTGTCAAGTGCAGATACGCACCAATGCACAATTTCCACTTTCAATTCGGGTATCGTATCATTAACTTCATTGCGACATTTTGGCAACCTGTGCTTCCAAATCAATTTGCCAATGTTTTATTTTACGCAAACCGATTTTTAGGGCTCTATGAAATCCCTTTTTGCGACACGTCATCAAAATTGAAAATAATTGCGCACCTTGTGGTGGTTTTGCGTTAGTGGTCAGGCGAAGTCGCAAAGACTACGGTACCGGTAGTATTCTATGCCAGATTAACCCGTACTACCTCGTTTTGGCCTTTTGTCCATGTATGTAAGCATCGTTCACTAGTTGGACACGAAGTGTGCTTAACGATCGTTTTGTTAATATGTCGTTGTTGTTCTTGTGTTATTATGTTGTTGTTGTTGTTGGTATTTTTCTTCTTGTTGTAATGAGAAAATCCCCTTTTTCATTAATTATTCGACCAATTGAAATTTTTAGTGGTCAAACATTGTATTTGTCGATGGAAGGTATATATTGCAAATATTTATTTGAAATATTTCGATGAAGTCATGAAAATTGCGCACCTTGTTGTTCCGCGTTTGTTGCTAGCTGGTGGTCAGGCGAAGCTTGAGCGTTAGTAATGCGCTCGTCACCGCATTTCTGATTACCTTCTATAGGTTCGAATCCGTGGGGATAGTTACCTTCGAGAGGATTGCTGAACTTCTCGTCAGCATAGGGTGGTCCACGTAACCGCCGGTCGGTTTCGGCTTCCTCCACCATCAAGTCCGTGCATCTAAAACTAAAACTGGCTAACTAATCCCATACCCGACGTGGAATGGTAACTGGGCGAGAGGCGGTGGTTGGTAAACGCGCGTCTAACGACATCTTTGATTAACCTGCGTTGGCGGTGATTATAAGCATACGTTTAGTTCCCAAAAACAACAGGGCGGCGCGAGGCGATCGCATGTATAAAAAATGTGGGGCTCCACGCGGTGTTACGTAGAACGTCGTCTTTTGTTTATTCAACTTCCTAAAATTATTTATCCTATACTTCATTTTATAAGCGTTTATTTTGATTTACAGGTTTCTGACATAAAATACTCACAAGGATCCGAATATAATAAACTAGGCTTTTAGCGCGCGCGATTTTTTTTTTAGTTTTTTTTCTTAATGCGAATGTTTAACATAGTATTGGCTACACTAGACTCTAATATGCACACTTTTCTGTGCACAATTTTCTGGTGGAGGAATGAGCGATGTATACTGGATTTCCCGATTTTATTTAATCCGAAGAGACGGAAATATACGTAGAGCCCAAATGTAATTTTTGCTAGGTATGATTTTGATCTCTCAAAAGTACCTCATTTGCAAATCCTGCTCTTAGGCTCAAGTTATAGAAGAAACTCTATTCAAAAAGGTAATTATTATGAATCACACAAGAATTATCGGTGTATTATATTTAACACTACACAAAACACGTTGCTCTCCTCTTTTCATTGTTCAATGTTCATTTGATCAAATCTGGTTCTCTAAATTGAAAATGCAGGAAAACATGAATAAAGCGTCATTATTGAGTTGCGGTATGTTTATTATTCTAATATATATACCAACACTCGATAAATCATTTTGTTGGCAAAAATCTGTTTTGAAATCAGATCAAGGTTGCATTGCGAAATGCGTCACAATTTCTTTCGTGAACCATGATACAATCGATGAAGGTTTACAACACATAATAAAAATGTTGGAAACGTAAAACGATGGCTTATTTTATCTAGTACTAAAGGAATATTGTGAAAACATTTCAAAGAATGAGTCAGGATAACGAAAAAAAATTATAAAAGATGGACTTCCTTTCAACTACATAAAATCAAAATACTCTGACCTTCAAACAGGTTCTCAAACTTCTCCAGATCCATAGATTCACGAGGCACTGTAAAGAGATGTAAAATTGATATTGCTGAAATATCCACTGGTACATATACATATAACCAGCGTAACTATATCAATTCTTTAGCTAATATTGAACAATGCATACAATTCATAAAATGATACAAGTGCTACAACTTACCTTCTTTATATCCATTGGCATTAAATGCCATAACTGACGAGTTCAAGAAGATCAGAATAAATGCAATTAAGCAAGTTAGAAATTTTACATTCATTTTCATTTCTGGTATATAGTGTGTTACCTCAGATAAACGAATCTATTAATCTGTTTTAGGTAAAAAAATTATCAAACCAAATTAATTATGCTTTGACCTAGTAATTTTTTGATTTTTGCTGTTTCAAATAGTTTGCTTGAAAGTACCACTAACACGATCCATAATGTTAGCTATCTTTTACTCTGGATAAGTATAAATTGAGCAGCTACTGTCCCAATAAAGTATCGGAATATCCCAATGAAGTTAAATGCTCTTGAATAGGCATTATAAGTGAAAATTGGTATCGTTTTCTGCATAAAGTCATAAATCATATTATGCATCGATTTTTTTCTCTGCGCAAATAAATTGTTCTCGGAAACAGGCAAACAGGGCAGGAAATCATTTGATTCAACCACCCTGTCAACAGACAGTGATAGTTGTTTTCCGTGCATTAGCACTGTTGAAATCTTTTTTCATCGGATTGTTCCCTTTTGACCACAGTTCCTATGCGGAGGTATTCCTCTGATGTAAGATGTTGCAAAAATACTTGTACGACAAATGAATCAAATTGACTTCTTGAACCGAGACGAAATAATCATCTCTTATTTCCTTCTATGTCCTGACTAAAAAAAATGACAATCTCACTTGAAGTCAGTGAGTTTTAGTCATCATAATCGACGATAAGTCATACATAATCCATTGTGAAAAATGTTATAAGTTTATCCTTATGCCACAATTCTTCCATATACGTTTGCAGAGTATCACGTTAAATTATGTGGAAACAACATCCACGTACACGACGAACGTTTTTGGCAGTGTGTGGCTGAATGTGCATATCCGTTAAAATGACAAATCTATAATTTATCATATATATGAACTGATTTGTTGTTTAAACTAAAGTCAAATATAGATCGTGTATTAGATACGTTAGAATAGCCTCCGTGTTGTCAGGTTCATATCACGGATTGCTTTGATTTCATACACGATGATAGTGCAGTTGGTAGAACGCAAAAGTTTTTTATAAATGTTTTCAAATTCAAAAACATAATGCATCAATTCATGATCCCGATTCATTTGCCAAATCATTGCGAATCACAATCTGTTGAAATGGTGGTTAAACCATACGATTTCCTATTTCGGTCAACCCGTTTCCGAAAACAATCAATTTGACTATAGATCGAGTCAATACATAATATATATGATTACTATCATCTGTCGAAACGTGGAAAAGCACCATTTTCACTGTCTACCCCGGTATCGTTAAATTTGTTGTCTCACCAACTTGCAGCTTGCTCTTTCCCGACTACTTTTTCAAATTTGCTTTAATTAATGGAAGTGCTAGCAATTCGAAGTCCTTTTTCGATGTGAGATTTCATGAAGCCCATTTTAGAAAAACATTGATTGAACAAATATGTTGAGCCAGAAAGTGTTATATTTGAAACCATAAATTATTTCAAATGTGGAAAGTTATCTTGGTTGCACAAATTTCGGTAAAAATTGCCAAGATTTATTTTCAAACACTTCGCTGTCAAATCTGACGTATTCTCGACTAGATTTGTACAAAATCGACTGATATGCTGAAACCAAAACTAATTTAGCTCCCGTATCTCCTCATAGTAAAATTTTTCAACCTCTTTTCTAATTGCCTGACCTCTGATCACCGTCTGTGGGTTCGAATCCATGGTGTGATTCACGTAACCGCTGATCGGTTTCGGCTTCCTCAACCATCAAATCCATGCATCCAAAACAAATAAATGGACCATGTGGACTGGTAACTGGGCGAGAGGCCGTGGTTCGCCATATTCTTGAGCCATCTCATGCCTCATACATTTTGCGGTTTTGAGAACTTGTGATTTTGGTTCCTTATATATATATAAAATATTCGCGCTTCAGGAGTGTGTGTACCAATATGGAGGTAACTAATTTTGTTTGCCTACTTTACATCAAGTTGTATAAAGGGACTGAAACCTATGGGCAGGGGGTATATCCACTTGGAGCACACAAACAGTCTTCAAACTCGTGATTTAATTAATCGGAATAGTGTTATGGCCTAACCCTAACCTGGTATACATGCTATGGGAGTACTAAAATATTAATTATGAAACTTGTGTTCTATGCTATCTGAAATTGAATATATAAGTAACATTTCGTCTTCATTACTAATTGGAGGCCAAGTTAAAAGTAACTTGCATGATTTTTTTATTATTATTTTGTAACAGTTCCAATACAAACATTGATAGATAGTTCTAAAATTATATTTAAAAAATGAATTTTAACGCGGCCAATACCGTGTGACCGATCAGTTTTCTATTCGAAAATGAATTCATATCCTTGGGATTCTATTGCTAATCTTGGGATTTTTCAACAATTATCTTGAAAATACCCGATCGACTGCAATAGAATGGAATCAATGTTACAATTACAGAAAATTATTAACGCCAACAATGCCGACCAAATAGACAGCAACTAAACGTACGATACGACGTGCGCAAACAGAAAACGCCAGCTTGTATGTCGTGGAATTTACAAGATGGCAAAAAAGTCAATTCCGCTGCTTCAGGCAATTACTTGCCTCATCTATGCTAGACAATGTTCAAATGTAGATACTGTGACGAATACCTGTGTTGGGATTGGCATAACAAAGTTCCATGTTGGGTAGAAAATGGTCCAGCAATCGTTCGCGTTCTTTATTATTCCGTTATTCGCTGATAAAACGCAATTCATATTTTGTACGTTTTGCCATAATTTTATGGAGCTTATGCTGGCAGTTAATGTTAAAACCTTGTGCAAACGTTGAATGCGTGACACCGGGTAAATAAATTATCTCCCGCAAGCATCTCGATGTAACGTGTTTGCGAATATAGCTCTGTTGCACTACCGCAATATACGTACCGGAGTGCGGAACGAGATTGATCATTGCGCCATTGAAAGCTTCACGTTTGGTAGTGATGCCTTCAAAGCTACATCGTATTAAATATTTGCCTAAAAATTTGAATAGTGCATTGCAAGATCGTTGCGAAAGTGTCCAGAGAAAGATATTCAGCAAATTCTCCATATAAATGGCCAATTGCATGCACTCGTTAGGACTTGTCGATGGGGTCCTATCGCACTTCAAATAAATCTGAAACGCCCTATGTCCATTCTTTAGTGACAAACGAATTAACTATTTAAGGCAATTTGGGAAACAGGATTACGGCGTTAAAACCACCGCGGACACTCGAAAAGGTTGACTGCCGGCTAAAAAGAATTTACCACTTATCATGATCTTGACAAATGGGATATCCAACTATATGAACAGCATATTACAAAAAAATGCTTTGGAATATAACTATTTTAGGCAATTATGAATATCGGACTCCAGCAGTAATAATACCAGCATGGGCACTCGAACGGATGACAGCTAACAAATAGAAGCTTGTCAAACGCACCCTCAAATTATCATATATTTGAATTTGTTACACGTAAAACAATTTTCGGAGATGTAACACATAGGGTAGAAAAAATGCAAGACTTTTTACAATCAATAATAAAAATAGGAACTTTGTGAAAAACTTTTTATAAAATAGAATTAAATAAAATTTTTGTCGTGGAAGTACAAAGCGCAAGTTGAAGCAAAATTACTTTAATTACATTACTATAGTCACTGTCCGAGGTAATTTAACATTCATCAAAATTATGAAACATATATAAGCCAATGTGTGGACAGCATGTTACAGAAAAGTGCTTCATTTTTTAGTGCCAAACGAAAAGGTGTACAGCTAACAAATAGAAGCTTGCCGCACGCACGCAAGGTAGTTTGACATTCATCAAGATTATGACAAATAGATCGCCAACAAAACTGTTGAATGCATGTTTTCCCGTTTTGTTTTTGTTTCCGGAAGTGAGATTCTGAAATAAAAAATTTAGGAAAACTTGGTAACATATATATAAAGAATTAAATTCTGACCAGGAACATTGTATAACAAATGAACCAAAATCCCATCTCGGCGATCTCATGACATCCGCGCTTTATATGACATCGTGTTACATTAGTGACAGAATTATCGTGCTGGGAATTGGCGGCCAGGGTAACCCAGGTCTAGGTAGCTAGTTACATGATGACTTTTGTGTGTGGCCAAGCGAAAAGTTCAAAATAATTGACAAAAGTTAATGCGTAGATGATTTCGAAATTGAGTTGTTCGGAACAAAATTTTGCGTTAATATGCAATCCGCAACTGAAAACGTCCAACTCGAAATTTTTGCAATTCTCAAACTACAACATTACGATTGAGGAGATTTCATTCATTAAAACTCTACGTCCCCCAATATGAGTTGATAAGTAATATTGTTTGCATTTATGTGTAAACCGGTTATCAAAAATTCTTATTTGGCTAAATTCAACAAAGGTGAAAAACATGAAATATTATTGTTTTCGCATTTTATTTGCATGGATCTGATGAACCCATGCTTGGCCCTACTGGGTTGGTGCCAAATTAAATTCTCAAAATCAACAATTTGCATATTCGGATATATATTTCAAAATTTCCCAAAATCAAGAATCTAATATTCGTACAATTCTAAATTTATATGATCCAAGCTCATTTGGTTCATCAATTTGATTCATTTTATCTTTTGTGCAAACTAACCGTCTTATCTCTGGTTCACAGTTTCCGAATTTATAAAACACCTCTGAAAAAATTAGTGCGGCGTTATGCTCTTTTATAGATTCAACCGCATACTCTAGTGTGATGTATCTTTTTATTCATTCTGAAAGTACGTCAATGTCACTCAACATCTTTTCTCGGATTATGATGATTAATAAGCAAATCAAAGCAAAGTACGCTATAGTTAATCTTCTTTCTTTTGGGATTCAATTGTAGGTCGCCTACAAAATGTCTGTTGTGACTCCCTTTCTTTGGTGCCCCGAGCACCTGCTTCTTGCTTATTGCCTAATTCAGCACTGTTCAATAAAGCTGTATAACACGGATAGTTCAAGTGGGTAAGGAAGATGCAATTTGACGATAACCCGACTCGATATGTAATTTCGATATAGATTGGATGCTTTCAATCAATTCGAACAAAGAAAACAAAATCATTTTTTTAATGAA